GGTCTTCTTCTTCCAGCAGGTCTCACGTCGCCTTCTTCCAGCAGGTCTGTCGTCGCCGCCGCTCGTTGCCGCCGCTCGTCGCCGCCGCTCGTCGCCGCCGCTCATCGCCGCCTCTCGTCGCAGCCTCTCGTCGCCGTCTCCGGTCGCCTTCCACAGCTTCCTTACTGCTGCGTCCTCTCCTTATTGCTGGTACGTGTTTTCGATAAGTCTAGGGTTTGGTTTAGGGAATTTAGCATTTTTCTTTGGAAATTGATGGTGTTTATTGCTAATTTCATGTTTGTAACAATGTTAATGATGATTGGATTACCGACATTTTGCCATTTCTTGAGGATTTGATACTGATATGAAGAACAGCATCTTTTCTATATATCCATTTAGAATTGATTGTATTTCTTGAGGGTTAAATGGTAATTTGTTGTCATTCAGAGAACAATTACCAAACAACCTTGTTTCATTCAGCAATTAACCATTCTGATCCTCTTAGCCATTCTAACCTCTTAACTATTCTAAACTAAATCATTCAGCAACTGCCAAACAGCCCCTAACAGACATACAGTGAATTATACACTCATCTTTAACAGACATACAGTGTGAAGTGAATCAAGTGATACAGTAAGTCAGTAACAAGAATTAGAAACATAAATGACAAACCACAAAGGACCAATTTCACAGCTTCATACTTAGGTTTTGCAATCAAACAAGAATTAGAAACATAAAAAACAAAATAAGTAAAGTAAATAACCCTAAGTCCCTAACCTCACAAGTCACAACTCACAAGAGTCAAGACGCGAGAACGAGAGGCCGAGAGCCGGTCGGCCGTCGGCGGTCGATAGTCGAGACTCGAGAGAGGCAGAGGGTGAGAGTGAGAGCGAGAGCCGATTGAGTCAAGAATCGGTTTCTGTTGGTGAGTTCCGTGAGCGAGGCGGGGGCGAGAGTCGAGGGAGTGTGGGAGGACAAATTGAAGGCCGATTGAGATTGTAGTGGACTATTAACGATAATATTAGGCCCAAATCAAAATTCAGTATAGGTTATTTTATAATGTATTTTTACATGAAAATATAATTTTAATTATATTAAAACGTATTTTTAAAATGTATTTGAGTGACTCAATTATAAATTTATAATATATTAAAAATATATATCATTAAAAAATTTAAAAAAAAATCTTATTTTTTTAATGCCGGGACCGGGACCGGTGGCCCATAACCGGTTATGAAGTACCTTGAGCGGTCCTACCATTTTCGACCGAGACCGGTTATGGCCGGTTATGAGAAAGCTTGGGACCAACCCGGCCCGGCTGGGGACCGGTTTTTGGCCATCACTAACCTATACATATACATTGGGCTTTAGAAATTTGATGCCCTTGAGCTGCCCTGGGCCGTCGCCCCCTGGGCCTATGGCTAGGACCGGCCCTGGTCGCCACTTCTTTTTAATATCTATTAGTGGGTTTTATTCTAAACTATTTTTTCTTGTTTCTTGGGAATTTGAGTTTTTCGACAGAAACTTATTGGTCACATTTTGAGAATAGTTATTTGTATGCGTTTAGAAGTCTTGAAAAATTTCCTACTCATTGCATATCCTGGAGTTATGAAAGCTATGATTGTCCAATTTAGCTATGATTGCGACGATTTATTGAACGGTTTTTTACTTAATTATGTCATCCATGATCCACCCAAATATAGATTGCGTTCTAGTAGTTGGATTGAATCCCATGGCCTCTTTAGGTTATGATATTTATGTATTCGTTTCAATTAGGACGAGTATTTGGAACGTGGTCAGATTTTTACCCGTGGCTTATGTCGTGGACGTTTGGATTAGGGTGTAATTTTTTTAGTTTATTTGTAGCATCAATTATTATGCATCATGCATTGCAGAGTTCTCTAATATTTACAAACATATTTCAAGGCTTGTAATCATTCAATCCCCGTCATTCCATTTTAGCTCACCTCCAACCGRAAAGCTTTCGCGATGATGTTTTCCGAGAATACATCCTTCAAAAATGGGATTTGGTTGGATGGAGTCTCGCAGAAGAATATCATTTTTATAAAGGGCGCTACAACTAGCAGCCACTTTCTTATTAGTAAGATAGGTTGCTTGAGCCAATCCAACCCCCTCCCTACTCTTCTCTTCATGTATGTGGGCTGCCTGTCCCGTCCCGAATAGACGAACAGGATTTGGCGAACGAATAGAAAGGTTAAAGGCTTTTTTATTGGTGAAGTAGGCACGGGTATCAACGYCTAAGCCCACAGTAAACATATGATGTTGGGTAGTTTCTTTTTCATTACTTACCGAAGTCTAAAGGTAAGAGTGAAGTCGTCGACACCAGGGTGCACCGGAGCCCGAGTGAGAAAGGGATATTTGGACGGGCGGTTGTACTAGAGAAGGGGATTTTAGATTTGGGACGTTTGAGCTTTCTTTTTTGTCTAAATTTGAGGTCGGCCTGAACATGGGCCTGAGCTCAACCTGTGCCAAAGCCTAAGCTCATTCATAAGGAACAATTCCGTTTATCAACCGTCTTTGATAAATGTTGGGTGTAAGGGCGGTTTACCAAATGCTTACTGTAAGGGTCATTTACCTAAACGCTTATCCGGTAAGAGTCAACATTCTAACATGTTTTATCGATTAAAATTGTAGTTCAACAAAACGGTATCATATTCAATAATTTACCCCGTAAACGTTTATCGGGATAAGAGTCGTTACCCTCACCTACCGGGTAAGACTCTTCATCATCATCGTTCTTATCAGATAAGATTCTTGGCTCTTATCATGTTCATCCGGTAAAGTAAATGACTTAGGTAGCGTTTGATTTTTTAAGAGGTGTTGAAACCTGAAGTCTTCTTTCATTTCTGATTGATAAGAGATGTGCTGAAGTTGAAATCTGAATCAACAAGACTGTTTGTTTTTGTAACATTGTCAGTGTTTCTAAAGTAAAATTGGCGTCATAATCCGAAGAACTTCCTTAGCTCTTCGAATCTGAAAGAGAAACTCCTTCCCCTCTCTCTTTCAGTTTAACAAATTTGTCAGTCAGATAGATTAGAATCACAAGTCCTACCTTCTGCAACATAACGTAATTCTTTGTTTGATAAAAAATATAGAGCAAAAAATTAAAAGTGAAAATTTGTTGTGTTTATATTCAACCCCCTTCTACAAACAATTCATGTGTAAGTTATCACTTTCTAGGACCAACACTTACCTTATTGTATAACGTTTTCGGCCATCAAAATTGATTGTTATTAAGCGTCTTAAATCTAGTAAGTGCTTACCAGATAAGAATCTTTTTCCCTCACTTATTTGATAAGACTCTTGATCGTCCTTGTTATGCCTCTTACCAGATAAAATTCTCGGTCTTTGCCATGCCCAATCGGTAAAGTAAGTGATATTGACAAACACTTACCGTGTAAGTGTCCAATAAACATCCCCTAAATCTTGATTTCTTAATTAAATCCAAAGAAACTTAGAATATGTTTAAAACCAAATCAACTCAAATAACATCTTTCCCTATCTCTGATGAATTGTAAATTGAGATTGCATCTCACTGCAACAAAATCTTTCTAACATTAGAGATTGTTTACCAATACAAACTATTTAGAAATCACCACCCTTATATACCTTATCAGGTAAGATTCTTGGTTATCAAAATAGCACATTACACACATCTTTTACCAGTAAGTGCTAACCAAGTAAGGGGTTGTTTACCCAACGCTTATCCCGGTACGAGTTTACCAAGTCACATTACCTTACCGGATGAATATGGCAATGACCAATAATCTTACCCAATAAGCTTGAAGAGATTGTTGGTAAATACCATCATCTCTTACTGGATAAGCATCTCTTACCTCTTAAGGGGCAACAAGTATTAAATTAACCTGTAAGAGTCAGTAAGCGTTTATTAAACAGCCACTTAGACTTGGGGGCCGTCTACGGAACTCTTATCAGGTAAACACTTACCATATCAATGAGAAAATGACAAGGACAGAGGATCTTATGTTGTAGGAGGCATAACAAGGACTGAAAATCTTACGCGGTAAGTGAAGGAGAAAACTCTTACCCGATAAGTGTTTACCGAAAATATTACCCTATAAAGTAAGTAAGAGTGATAACTTTAACCAGCAACTCAGCAAGTGCTTATCTGGTAAGAATTTGATAAGTGGCCCCTTATGCATTAACAACTCAGAAATTACTCTTGGTTCCTGAAACACAAAAAGAACAAAAAAGATATATAACAGAAAACAGGGAAAAACGATGCTTTAGAATCTTTTAAACAGAGTTATCAAAAGAGCAATACACATATATTTGTAGGTCCATCATACTTTCAGTGAAGCTTCTTTAACATAACATTACACAGTTTAGTCATTGACATCCCCCTCTATTGCAAGTATTTGTGACGACTGTACGTACAACCAGCAGACAAAACTTACGGGCTCAGTGACATGTTTATGATCGAAGACAGTTTGATTTTCTGAACTTTAGCAGGATCTTGAAGCTGAAACAAGACTTCTGTACTTGATCTCACTGTTACCTCATTCCAGTCCAAACCTGAACCCCCTTCACTCCTGTAATCTCGTGGTGCGTATAGAAGTTGAAGCTTCGAATGAGCTGTATTCAGTCACCTCATTAGGAAGAAAGTTGAAATAAACATAATAGCTTATATTCGTAAATGTTTTCTCATTTGATTTGTGGTCTCTCTTGTCCGAGAGCATCTCCAACAAATCTGGAAAATGAAGATTTTGGAGTTTTTAACCTTCGTTCTTTTTGCTCAAAACAGATCCTCCAAATTATTCTCCATTTTGGAAAAAATTATATAGAATCTGTTGGAGATGCTCAGATTCAGATATAAAAAAGAAAAAGAAAGAAGTGGTATTAATTACAAGTACCTAAACCAAACATGCTTGTTTTTTGGATCGTCAAACGGCTAACTTTTGATCTCTTAATATTTCTTAAAGACAGGATATCATCTTGCTTCCCTTTAAATTCTAAAAATTCTCCTAATAGTTGTATGTTATTTTTTAGCTCCAATCTGCACGAAGAAAAAAAGGATAAATACAAAATGAGATACCAAATAACCATTTAATTCCTTCAGAAGCTTTTTTCATCCATTGGGAAGTACCACAAACAAGCAATTGGATACAAGTAGAACACCTAAACATACCTATCCCACATTGGAGCAGTGCTGAGAATGAAACCAAGATTCTGTACCGACTCCTGCATTTCTTTCTTATCACCATGTAAAGCACCCTTAATCCAGCCAGATATGCTCTTCCGCTCTGGTTTCAATTCTGTCCATTGCTCATATGTTACAACTTCTGGGGGAAAGTAATCTGGATGAATGGTGCTGGAAGAACAAATAATCGTGTAACACAGATTACTTTAAATCTAAAATGGGATTGAAGTTGCAATTGAATTTTGAAAACAGCAAAATTTTAGATCCTCATAGCATACATGGTACCCTAGTTATTATTCAAATTTGTGATACCAGGAGTAATACAAAACGTTTCATGTTTGTCTATGAACACCAATGGTATGCACAAGCTTGGCCACCTAATAAACTGGCCTTAATTTGAGAATTAGACTTTATGAGCACTTTCAAGGGGTATACATTATCAATAAACAAACAATAGCAATTTTATTTTGATTATTAATGTAAAGAAAGCACTTTAGAAATTCAATTATGCACAGGTTAAGTAATACACTACTAGTGAATACATCAAACTGAATGTTTTAGTTTGTACCGAAAGTTTGGGTTGGGGCATACGATCTTGCAGGACAGATATCCATCTGGCAGAGCAACTCCCCTTTGTTCAAGATACGACTCGAGAACTGCAGCTTGTCTTTTGGCCTCCACCATCTATAACAGATAACACATAATAGTGAAGTAAGATGTGGATACATAAAAGAAAATTGATAACCCCACCTCTGTACTCCCTATTAGTCTAGAAATAAAAGCAAAAGTGATATTGCCCATTGTCATTATTACATCAAGAAAATTATCAAGAATCAGCAAGTCATTGGCTGATTCAAGAAAGGATTTGTAACAAAAACATTGTAATCTCCTCCCTCCAAATTTGACAAATACTTGTAACTATGAAAAATTAAACATATACTGCATGTCTACATCATCAAAAAATATGATCAATTTAGCTTCGCAAGAGGTATCTTGCTTCAGATTTGCTTCTGTTATAAAGGGTAACATCATCTTGTATAATGCATAATACAGATGAAGCTTAAGAGAAATAGCTCTGTTTTAACATGGTAGCAGATCAACTTAGCTCTTGATACAAACCCAAACATCGCCTGCTGCTATCATGAAAACCCCTAGACGCCACTATCACGAACACAAAGTCATGAACCTAAATGACAACCAACTTTCTGGTTGGTCATTATCTGGTTCACAAAATCCTAGGTGTATGGGGTTTCCTGCTTTTCGACGTTTTTGGTTTGTGTTTCTTTTTCTCTCTGCTCATAATTTCTGATTTGCACCTTTTCTGTCCGCATTACTTGTTTGACTCTCTCCCTGCATCTTTTGTTTTGCGACTTTTAGTCTTGCATCACTGCATCAATCAAACCATTTGCAGCTCAACTGAAATCACCTATCAACTGTTTTTGTAATCTTCTTGTGGGCAAGGTTCTAGTACAAAACCAAACCAAACAAACCCAATAAGTCCCAACCGAAGGCAGGGACTTTGTTTT